AAACCACGGTCAACTACAGGGGAGTCCAGCGACATAGCCATTACTCTAACTGCTGGTCCCCCCAGTGTGACTTTTCAAGCTACCAGGTCTGTGACTTGAACGTGGTCAGCCATGTGGGAATCCAGCAATGTAATTGCATACTATCCGCTGGCTCCAGTATTTTAACTGGTTTTCTTCTGCTATAATGTAAATCTCTTGACAACAAGGACTGCTGTACATGTGAGCTCCTGAAACCCCAATGCCCCACCTAATAGCCTGACTTGTAGTCAGAGCTCAGACTTATTTGGTCTATGGATGAATACATGAAATACAATTTAAATTTTTTTTTCTCCTGAAACTTTTTATTTAATTAATTAATTTACATTCATCACCTTAGCATCATCACAGCATACAAAATGTGGTTTCCCATCTAGAATATACTGCATAGTTGCTTAATCATGTATGTTATCATCAATAATTTTCCATTTCTAGTTTCATATATATATATCCCTATGTCTGACCCTCTGCCCTTTCCCACCCTCTTCTCTGGTGTCTACAGTTGTCTTCCATTCCTTTTCCTCCCACATTTTATTGATCACACAATTTCTTAAATAATCTAACTACTTTCAATAGCAAGTTCAGCTGGTAATTTCGAGAAAAGCGGCTTTGAATTGGTAAGGAAATTTGCTTAGAATTTAAAGCCTGGAAACAGGTTAGTATTCTGTTCAAATAGTAGGTACATGAACCTACTGACAGCTCAAGACAGGACAAAAACTTTTAAAACCAGACAACAAAGACTAGAAGAAAAGCAGCAATATTTTAGTTAAAAGTCACAGAATGCTGTTTCACCACTTCAGTCTCATGTACTTAATCTATCTTCTGTTGTGGTTCGATCTTCCCAATTGAATTGTGGGATATAATATTCAACTCCAGACTTGTCCTTATGATTAAGTTGGCCATTTTCTTAGTTTTTGAACTCTCATTTCTGTGTGTCTGCATTTAATTTTCCTGACATAGCACTCCCTTGAAAACTTCTTGGAGATCTGGTCTGGTGCTGGTAAATTCTTTTAGGTTTTGTTTATGTGAGAATGTTCTTGTCTTTTCTTTCCATATGAAGGATAATCTTGCCTGGTACAATATTCTTGGTTGGAATTGCCTTTCCTTTGACACTTTGAATATATTTTACCACTCTTGCATTGTTTCTGATGAGAGGTCTGCTGTTAGTCTGATGGGATATCCTTTGTAAGTAACTTGCCGTTTCTCTCTCGCCAATCTTAGTATCTTGTCTTTGTCTGTGGTTTTGGTCAGTCTGGCTATAATGTGTCTTGGAGAAGATCTTCTTGGGTTGATTCTATTTGGGGTCCTTTGTATTTCTTGGGACTTGATCTTTGAGTGCCTCTCTAGGTTTGGAAAGTTTTCTTGCAGGATTTCATGGAATAGATTATCAATGCCCTTATGAGTCTATTTGCCTTCTGGGATGCCAATTATCCAGATGTTTGGATGTTTGATAGTATCTAGTATTTCTCATATATTATTCTCAAATTTTTTGGCAATTTTCTCAGTCTTTGTGGTGGATTTTTCTAGTCCAGTAATTTTCTCTTCTATGTCTGAGATTCTATTTTCTGTATGATCTAGTCTGCTTTTAATATTTTCAAGGGAGATTTTGACTTCCTGAATTATAGCCTTTATCTCTAACAGTTTCACTTGATTCTTTTGCAAAGTGTGCAATTCCTCTTTCAGATCTTGCAAGAATTTCCTCACCTCCATGAACTTGTCAGCTCCTTTCTCCTTTCTCTTCTGCAGTTCATTGTCTCCCTTCTCTTCCATCTCTGTTAGCTTTGCCATTATGAATGTTCTAAATTCTTTATCAGACATTTCCATGATTTCCATTGTACTATCTGTGGATAAGAGGAGTTATCCTTTTCGCTTGGACGAGAGGTATTTTCTTGCTTTCCCATATTTCTTATGGCCCTGTGGTGATTTCTAGTCATCTGATGGATGGTGTGTTTCTTCCCACACTTGAAGTTCAATCTGAGCGTCCACTCGAGTTTGTGGGCTGGAGGCTGAATTATCAGTGGAAAATATTCATTTTGCTTATTCCCCTGAAATCACTAGTTCTCAGAAGCCATGAAGGTGTCTTCTCCAATTTAATTTTTTTTTAAGTTTATTTCTTTCTTCCATAAGAGAGATATGCACACACACACACACACACACACACACACACAGAAATAGAGACAGAGACAGAGAGATAGCACCTCAACAGAGTCTCAACACCACAATCCATCCCCAATTCCAGCTGGCCTGGCACCATAGGCATGAGCATGCATGGCATATTCAGAAAGGTCTTCAGATGGGACTTTGAACCTTCCCTGGTAGGCAACCTCACAGAGCATCATGTCTACTGCTGTACCACCATCCAGTTTCTAAGATGTGACTTTTATGCTACCTGAGGAATTAATTATCCTAATAAGCATTTAATTTAAAAAAGAAGACCTCATAGATTAAACACAGGCTAAAACAGATAATAATGATGAGGTGATAGTTACTGACTGCTAAATAAATTTTAGCCACTGTCTTAAGCACTTAATGGGTAGCAACTCATTTGATCTTCACAAAAACTAAGGAAACTAAAACAGAGAGGTAAAGCATTTTCCTGAAGGTCAAATAGCTCATAAGGACAAAAGGCAGGATTTACATTTATGCTCTATAGCTACAAAGTCTGCACCTTTCCCAGGATTTTTCATTCCTGAGCATTATACTATAGTATTGTGGTTTAATCCTTGGGATAGGAGAGAATCTTTGGAGAAATTCTAATTTCTTCTCTGGACCTTAGCATCCTCTGATCTACTGTTGGGGCCCCCATGCTTTGAGTGAGACCTTGAACACCCTGGTCTGATTCTGTTGTTATCCATTAGTCAGTGAGTCCTGAACTGAATTGTCAGGACTCGAGACAAGATGAAGTTGGAAGGGGGACAGAGAGGCTATGAAGGGGAGCTGCTAAGTAGTTAAGAACAAAGGCACCATTTCCTAATCACAGATGTCAAAGTTTTTGGAGACTACTTTAGGGTTAGAAAAAAGATCTCTGTGTTATTTTGTGGGCAAGCATTCTGTGGATAATGTGAAATGTGGAGAAAATAATAGCGAGAAAGAAGGAAAGGGAGGGAAAACAAGGAGGGAAGGAAAGAGGATTAAAGAGAGTGAAGGAGGGAGGAAGATTGGGAGGGATGAACAAGAGGGCAGGAGGTCATATTGCTCAATTTTGTGTATGGGTAGTATAAGATTTGCTGCTTGGTACTTATCTCTTCTGAATTCCTTCCCAGCTCCACTCTGTGAACCCACTGGTGAGTTGCACTTCCCTTTCTTCATGGTCTGTGGGCACCCTGTCACTCATGCTGCACAGGAGAACCCCGCCTGTCCAAGACACATCCGGGTGACAGCTGTCAAGGTGTATAAACATCAGCGACCCCCTTGGGCCCAAGCTCCTTTGTGCTCATACCAGTCTGCATCTGACACGTGCCTGTTCAACTGGGCCAGCAGGTCTTGCTCTGCCCTTCTCAAGAACATAGTCTTATTTCTGGAAAGTCTCAACGAAAGAGAGGGAGAAACAATTTGCACACAGAAGGTAGAGAGTGCTGAAGATTCACATTAGAAGAAGGTCTGTCCTCCCAGCCTCGGGGGTTCCAAGCCTCCTATGTGCTCCTCAAATGGGTACCCTTCCGGAGGTGATGAAAGAAATGCCGAAACCACACGTGCATGGAGAATAACACTACAGTCAACCCCTGGTCCACATGCAAAATGAAATAGTGCTTCTACCTACTTCCTGTTTTTAACTCCACTCTGAGGCCACAGCTGTTACCTCAGTCCATTTTATCAGTCTCTGGCCTCTGCAAATCTACTTCATCACTCCGATCCACATTCAAAGTCTCACCTTTACCTGAACAGAGCTGGAAATTCCCACACAAGGAATTTTTCACTAAAGTCTATTTGAATCTAATGTATTTGAGAATTGTTTTCTTGTGCAAAAAACACTAATCATGGAGTAGAAAGAAATTGTCCTACCAAGAAACAGTCTGCATGTTTGACTAGGGAACACAGGATCAGGAATTCCTGGGACCTAAGAGAGCTGCATCAATTTAGCTTTCTGGGTTCCTCACCTGATATGCTTATCCAAGTCTAACTCATGGTTCAGGTTACTGCCCTGCTCACCTTATATTTTGTTTCACCTTAACCCCTAAGGTGCCCAGTTCTCAACTAAGCAGAAATCTGAAGCCACATAAAGGATGGAAACAAAATTTTTGCCACCAGCAACAAGGGATCTTCAAAACATTCATGGGGATTACGCATTATGGAAAAATTTTGTGTGGATTTCAAAAATGGTTTGCACCAAAATAAACTAGCACTTTAATTCCACTTTTCCACAAATTATTTGAGGCCCCTTGTATTTCCCAGGAAGTCTCTGCATCTTCTGACCTATATGACTGAGCTCTAGACCCTCATAATTGACCCTGTCCAGTTTCCTACTCCACCCCTACGCTAGCCCTTTCTCATTTCTTTCCCTGCTCAGCTCCAAAAGTCATGCTGCTTGCTCTCCAGTCCTTCAGAGATCACAACTTTTGAAGGAAAGAAAGTTTCTCTAATGTGTAGGGTATTCCATTCCTAAGGACAGAGCAAACATTCTGGGACCATGGATGGAACCATTATTCAAAGGGTCCCAGAGAAAAACACTATAGTAGGAAGGCTTGGGGATTACAGATACTGGACTTCTCCTTTCATTCAACCTTCAGTGATCCTGAGCACTTGACATTTTCCTCTGATGGGGAGGTAAACAAGCTTTTCTTAAGAAAATTATTAAGGGACCAGAAGATGGCATAATGGTCATGTTGCTGGACTCCCATGTAGTTGACCGTGGTTCGAATCTCAGACCCAGCAGCTTAAACTCACGCCGGGCGCATGCGTGCGCGCGCATGTGAGTGTGTATGCCCATGATCCTGAAAGGAGAATGGAGGGGAAGGGATTGTGGCATGGCCATCCCCCCAGGGGGTGATTTCTCACTTTCTGTCTATCTCTCTCTGTGTTTCTGGTGAGCGCATGTGCCCTATAGCAAAAACCTCTCCAAAAAAAAGAAAAGAGAAAATTATTAAAATTTCCCAAAGGATAGAGGCTCCAAAGGATTGGATAAACAAATGCCCAAAGAACCAGTGCTATCAGGGATTATGATATGACTGGGATGCTGCATCTGGGGCAGATAAGAGAGAAGGGAGGGCAGAACACAAACTTCACTGTCTTTATTCATCCAGGACAGAAACTCTGAGGCCCCAAATGGGTACATCTCTGACACTTGAGGTATGGATTAAATTTGCTCCTTATCTATGACCTCTAGGTTTGTGTAAAAGACCCAGATCCAGGAAGCTGGGCTTTGTGGATGGTGGATACAGGGAACTTTCAGATAGGTGCATATTTTTCCTTCTAGTAGAAACTGCAACAATAGGGGCAAGACAAACCTAACAAAGAGGAGATTGGGTTCTTCTACATCTTTCCCAGACTGACATCTTTTTTTTGAGAGGTTTTTGCTATAGGGCGCATGCGCTCGCCAGACAGACAGAGAGAGACATAGAGACAGAAAGTGAGAAATCACCCCCCAGGGGGGGATGATCAATCCCTTCCCTTCCATTCTCCTCTCAGGATCTTGGGCACGCACGCACACGTGCCTGACGTGAGTTTTAAGTCACTGGGTCTGGGACGCGAACCGCGGTCGACTATGTGGCAGTCCAGTTTTTTGCCCTAGGGCATGTGCACTGGCCAGAGAAAGACATAGCCAGTACGCTAACTGCTGGTTCCCAACCAAACTGACTTATCTTCAAGTCCCATATTTCATTTTTGAAAGGGAGTGTAGTCTCAAACATCAGGGCAAAGGAAACAGACGAAAATAATCATACGATTTATAACAAGGATGAAAGAAATGTACTTGTTTTTATTAAAATTTCAAGGTTCACCATCTCTAGTGTCAACTCCATTGACAGCCTTCGATATTTCTACACTGGCTCCAAGAAAGGTGCTTTTAGTTCATGAACAGAAATCATGATGCTGGGCAGAGTGTGATGTACCAGGAATTCATGACCAAAGAAAACCCATGGGCCACTGAGGAGTGGTGGTGACCTGTGTATCTAACTAGCTATCTCTTTGTTTTGTTTGTAAGTGCTGGGAGCACAAAAGGTCTCTCAGAGGAACACTTAATCCTGGCATTTCTGTTTCAGTCTCTCTAGAGCTATTTTTGACAGCCAGCCCTTCCCACCCAGTAGAGGGGAACCCAGTGACCCTGACCTGTAAGATCCAGCCACCTCCACAGAAGTCAGATGTCCAGCTCCAGTTCCTCTTCTTCCGAAATGGCCAGACCCTGGGATCAGGCTGGAGCACTTCCCCAGAACTCCAGATCGCCACCGTGCGGAGAGAAGATTCAGGGTACTACTGGTGTGAGACACAGACATTGAAACCCATTGCCTCATGGAGAACCCAGATAAACGTGCAGAGTGAGTGGCGAGAAGAGGGGCGGTCTGCCAGGGTGGGCTGAGAAGGGCAGTGGCACGAAGCTGCTCCTTCCTGTCGGCTGGGTTCTACTTCTGCAAGAATAGAGCTAATGTACATGAGTTTTCTCTCCCTATTGGAGTTCTGTTTCTGTTTCTTGGAGTTTTTTGTCCTAGGGCATGTGCACTTGCCAGAGAAAGACAAAGACAAAGACAGTGAGAGGGAAAATGAGAAATCACCCTTGGGGGGATGGCTAAGTCTCAGTCCTTTCTCCTCCATTCTCCTCCCAGGATCTTGGCCATGCACTCACATGAGCCTGGTTTGCGTTTCAAGCCACTGGGTCTGGGATTTGAACCGCAGTCGGCCATGTGGGAGTCCAGGGGTGTAACTGCTATGCCACCTGCTGGCACCTTTATTGGCGTTCTTAAGGGATCTTCCTTTGAATCGCCTGTTTCCTTTCTGGAAATACAGGAGTATCTTGAAAACTCTTACTTTGTGTCTTCACTGTGCTGGATGATGTGGGGAAAGACCTACGTGATACTTGGCTCTTGGCGACAGGTAGCTGCTGCTCAGCCAGCACTCTGAGGAGGAGGACACACATGGTGCCATCTTGTGTAGGTTATCTGTCCATAGAGACACAGAAAAGAGAGAAATCTGCCCAAGATGGTAGGAGAAGGCTTTGTGGAAGAAATGTGTAGAGCAGGCTATTGGAGAAGGACTAGTGGAAGAGAAGCTTGGACTTGATTTCGAAAGATAAAAAGCAAAGAGGTCATTTCGCAATTCTCACCCATGTTATTCCCACAGCAGGGTAGACACTTCTGACATCCTCTCACATTCTCAGACAAAGAAATATCCATCATGTCTTAAAGCATGTCTTATACCCTTGGAAGACCGGGATGTCCCAAACTTGCTAATACTGGTGAAACAGGACTATAGCAACAAGAAACAGTACTGAATAGTTCGCATGCAACAGACCCTATCCTGGCACTTCCGATACGTTGTTTAATTGATCCTTAATGACTATGGTAGATAACTATTATTATTATCTCCATTTTGCAATGGAAAAGTGAGTCTCCATAAAGTTAAACAATTTGCTGAAGCATGCACAACAAGTAAAACTGGAATTCATATTCAAACTAAAGTGGTATCATTTACAATTTAGACTTTTAATCATGGTCCTATTGTGCCTTGAATAATAAGTTTGATCACAGTAATGAGAGTCACATTGTCAGTGGAAGGAGGCAATTTCATGTCCTCTATGTTCAAACTATCTGTCTCTCTTACTTTACCACCATTGCTCGAGCAATGGTGATTCTAAATCAGCAGGCCTTTTCCAATTAAACCATACAAATCATCTACTTTATGCTGGCCTTTGCTCTCAGGACTGTCATACCTACTCCCTGTCCCTAAAACTCTCCCTACTCAAGGCTCCCTACATCATTCCTGTTCATACAGGAGTCCCCGTCTCTGATGTGAATTTGAAGACCAAGCCCCCAGAGGGACAGGTGATGGAGGGAGATAAGTTGGTCCTCATCTGCTCGGTTGCTAATGGAACAGGAAGCATCACCTTCTTCTGGTACAAAGGGACCCTGGGCTTAAACCTGGCAACAAAGAACCAGCGTTCACTGACAGCAGAGTTTGAGATCCCTGCGGTGCAGGAGAATGATACAGAGAGCTATTACTGTGCAGCTGACAATGGCTATGGCCCCAGTCCCAGTGGGCTGGTGAGTGTCACAGTCAGAGGTGAGTTCTACTCCCCCAGCCCAGTCAGCAGTTCTCAAACATGCTTGGGATGTGTCCTTGGGGTATCCTGGGGAAGTTCAATGGGGCTGAATCTCTCTAGACAGAGATGACAAATCTGTTGCATCAATGGGTACCCTCTCTGACAGTCCACTGTCTCCTTCAGTTCCAGTGTCTCAGCCCATCCTCACTCTCACTGCTCCCAGGGTCCAAGCTATGGTGGGGGACGTAGTGGAACTTCATTGTGAAGCCTTCAGAGGCTCTCCTCCGATCCTGTACCAGTTTTATCATGAAGATGTCACCCTGGGGCATAGGTTAGCCCCTTCTGGAGGCAGAGCATCTTTCAACCTCTCCCTGACTGCGGAACATTCTGGAAGCTATTCCTGTGAGGCCAACAATGGAGTGGGGGACCAGCACAGTGAGGTGGTGACACTCAACATCACAGGTATAGCTCAGGCTATGGAACTGGCTGGGTCAATGTCACTTTCCCAACGTCCTAGGAGATTTTTGCTGATGCCACAGTGCTTCTGGTGGTGTGGCTACCAAGATTGGGCTCTGACAGGTAGAGCTGTTGGGAACCATGTATCTGAGGGGCATGGAGGATATGAAGGTTGGGTGCCTGTCTTCTCCTTTCATCAATGTGATAAGTGCCAAGTTCCTCAGTAAAAAAGTAAATGTCCCCTGGAAGAGCAGACCTTGGGAATAATCCATACCCAAGATGTCAGCTCATCAAAATCCAAGCCCTTCCTCCCAGCAGCTCATGCACAGGCCTCTCCCCTCAGTGCCTATCCAGGACAGAGGGAATCTCCAGGACAGAAGGGATCGGCTTACTTCAGGAGTCATTGAGGGGATGCTCTGCGCCCTTGGTGCTGCCATGATGACCCTCATATTGTGCTACTGGCTCAAGAGGAAAATAGGTGAGTGTTTATCGAGATTGATATTTTGTCATTTGTTTACACTGAAACAGGCTGTATTTGTGACATGTATATCACAAGGGATGAATATATACTGTTAGCTCCCTGCCTGCAGATGTGTGCAGAACCTCTCGGTGCATGGGAACAGCACTTATTAAAGTAATGCAACATTTTTAGTAAAGTTCTCCATCCTTCATGTGTTTTCATCGAGGTTCAGATGATAGTTTGTGCTCCTGTGATTGAATTTTTATATAAAAATGTAACTATTTAAACAATTAATCAGCCACTAAAAGAGAAATATGGTTAGCAGATCCAGCTATTTTTCCTTTCATCAGAGAAACAGAGAGAGATAGAAAATGAGAAATCAACCCCACCCCCACCCCGCCCCAGGGGGAATAGCCACACCACAATCCCTTCTCCTCTACTCTCCCCTTGGGATCCTGGGCTCACATGCAAATGCACCTGGCATAAATTTTAAGCTGCTGGGTTTGGTACTTGAACTGTGGTCAGCCATGTGTGAGTTCAGCGACATAACCATTATGCCATCTGACGGTCCCAACCCATTTCCCAGTTGTAAAGTCAATGCACTGACATTAAAAAAGATATATATTTTATTTTTAATTGACAAATAATAATCTCATATTTTTATGGGGTAAAACACCATGTTTCAATACATCTATACATTGGGAATGATGAAATAAAGGAAATTAATAAAGTCATCACTTCAAGTATTTATCATTTCTTTCTTGAGGAGAACTTTTCTTTTTTTTATAATTTTGACACAGGGTACATGTGCTCACTCACTGGAGACAGAGAGAAAATGAGAAATCACCCCTTGGGGGGATGGCAATGCCACAGTCCCTTCTCCTCTTGGGGTTTTGGGCACACATACCAGGTATGAGTTTCAAGCCACCAGGTCCGGGACTTGAACTGTAGTCAGCCATGTGAGAATCCAGAGCCTTAATTACCATGCCACCTGCTGACCTAGGAGAACATTTTAAATCCTCTCTTTTAGCTATTTTGAAATATATAAAACATTGCAAATTAGTACAGCCATTTTAGAAAGCAAATGGAGGTTTCTCATGAACTAACAATAGAATTACCTTGGGGTCTGATGAGACTATTACTAGGTCCCATTACTAAGTACGTACTTAAAGGAATTTAAATCAGTATTAGAAGTGTCTGCACTCCTTTTCTTCCTCTTGAAATGCTCATTCACACATCCATGAATTCTACTCACTGCTGGGACTTTCTCACTTTCCAGGAAATGTAATTTTCCCCAAGAGTCTTCACCTGACTACACAGTCCAACTGAGTTTTAAGTTGCTTAGAGTCATGCTTTATCTTAATGGGTAATTATGAATTTGTATGTTTAACCTTGTTCTCCACTGAACAAGATGAAGAGGACCAGAGGCGAGAGAGGACAATGTGAGGTTCTCATTTAAGTTGCAACCTTTTAACATCTTTGAGCACCTCACCCCATCTGTAACACTGGCATGGAGGCACCTGCTTATTGACTATTGTCATGATAGGATTGGGTAGTGTAGTTGCAAACATTTAATAGACACGAGGGCTCAGAGACTTGGGCTCCTGTGTTTACGCTTGTATTTCCTGGTTTGGGAAGTTCACTTAACTATTGTGGGCCTGAGTCTCCTTGTCTGACATGAAGATTCTGTGAATGATTGCCAGGGTGTTCTCTGGGCACACTGTGGATCTGCAATGGGTACACTGGCACGGGGCACGCACCTACACAGGGGCCCTGTGACAGCACTGAGGAGGGTCTCCAATGACATGTGTGCCCTTGTGTTTGACTTGCAGGAAGACGTCCACCTAGAAACCCACCCAGGTAAGGTTTCTGCTTTCTCTGTAAGTGCCAATGTTGCAGAAAAATCCATTTAAAAAATATGAATTGTCTTCTCTCATGTATAATTATTTTTTTCAGTCATACCGATGACTCACTTTCGAGTCATCCCACCGGCAACTTTGAGAATTCACTTGCTCCTCTTTTAGGCTTAATTTTTCCTGAATCCCTGCCACCCCAACACCCCATGCAGTCACTGGCATCCACAGTTGTCCTCACTACTTCTACATCTTCAAATCATTCCATTTCTGCCATTATCCAGCATATTTCACCTAGCTTTAAATCTAGATTTGTCCACTTTGTATTGAATGACAGAATCTTGCTGTTTTTCAGTGGTTGAGTAGTTTTCCATTGTATGTATTTGCCATACTTTTTTTAAATCCAGTCTTCAGTTGTCGGACACAGATTGAGTCCATGTTTTTGCTATTGTGAGTAATGCTGCAATAAACATGGATGTGCAAGTATCTTTCTAATTATGGGATTTCCTGTCCTTTGGATAAAGAGGAGTGGGGTTACTGAGCTCTTTTAAATTTTCTGTAAGTGAATTACTTTTTTTAAAAGTTTATTTCTTCCATGAGCGTGTGCACACATGGGAGAGAAGCAGCACTCACAACAGGGGTTTTGCTGCTGCTGTCCGCACCCCGCCCCCAGCCTCAGCCGCCCAGGTTATGGGTGCACTTGGCACCTGGCATGTTCAGGGAGCTCTCTGAGTGCAAGCCCGTAGCCCCACCCTCATGTGGGTCAGCCTTCTAGACCATTGCACTACTGCTGTGCTTCCCCCGGCTCCCGCACAACCCTTGTCTTCTGCCTGTCCTCAAGTTGCTTGTTCTGCTCAGCCACTGTTTCCCATCTGGAGTAAATCAGTATTTCTTTTCTTTTCTTTTCTTTTCTTTTTTTTGGAGAGGTTTTTGCTATAGGGCGCGTGCGCTCGCCAGACAGACAGAGACAGACAGAGAGACAGAAAGCGAGAAATCACCCCCCAGGGGGGATGGTCATGCCGCAATCCCTTCTCCTCCATTCTCCTCTCGGGATCTTAGGCAAGCATGCACACGTGCCTGGCGTGAGTTTTAAGCCACCGGGTCCGGGACGTGAACCGTGGTCGACTACTTGGGAGTCCAGCGACATAGCCATTATGCTAACTGCTTGTTCCCTAAATCAGTATTTCTCATCGAATACTTCTGAACACCATGATGTGACTAGCACTGTTCTGGGTATGAGCAATACCACAGGGAGCCAGCCAGATGGGAACCTTACACTCAGGAAATAGACACTTGTGTCTCATCTGCAATGCCCCCACAGCCAGTGTGCAGGGCCGTGGCTCGTACCATACTGCTGAGCCTTTCAGTATTCTCCTCAGGACCTTTCCTAACAGGCTTCCCTCCTTTAACATCTCATTCACAGTCTCAGATAGTGAGGTCTGGGATGTTTGGGCTGCCATCCCAGATAGTCAGCATGTATTTTTATGTTTGCAGGAGCCCTCCAAGATCTGTACCCCAAGAACCCAAGTATCTCAACTCACCTTCCCCAGTGCAGCCAAAGCCTGTGTATGAAAATGGTAAGTCTTCCCAAATGACCTAGTTCCACGTGGGTAGAGCAAACTGGGAAGGGGCAATGGGGTGACATCTGCTCACCAAATCGGACTCTGCGGTGCCCCTGCCTCCTCCACAAATAATTGACCCCTCTGTCTTCACAGCTATACTAGGCGATAGGTATGAAATAAGTTGGATGGCAGGAAGAAAGGACTGTGTCATAAAGTCTTCCTTCTCTTTCAGTGAACGTTGTACATGGGGATGACATTTATTCATTGGTGTACCACATCCAACAGGAGCAGGAATCAGCAGCAGGTGAGACAGTGGGGGTGTTTGCCTCTGATTTTGTCTGTCCTAGAACCCAGAGGACTATCTGGCTGAGCATGGCAGTGCGGCAGCCTTCTTCAGAGGGACTGCTTCTGCCCTTAGAGCTGACTCTAAGCATCACTGAGGCTGATCTTTGGTCTGGAGGCGGCTGGGCAAAGCCCAGTGCTGATACCCACTTGCCTACTCTATGCCTCACTCCGTCGTATGGCAGCACTGGAGATGGAGGTTTCTGCCCGTTCCATGAGGAGCCCTGTGCGTGCCTTGTGGCAGCTCACCACAGGTGCCTGGCTGCTGCTGTTGTCTACAAGACAGTGAGCCCAGAACACTGGAGTGGTGTAAAGGCTCCTCTGAGGAGAACCACTTGCCCTCCCATGCCCAGGCTGCTGGTTTTCCTCTGAATGGTTATGGAATCCTATTTGTGATAGAAAAGGAAGACAGAAATACTAATGGAAATCAGTCCATGGGGAATAGATGGGAGAAGAAGCTTTACTTAAACACAAGTTTAGTAAGGACTATAAATGCAAGTAGAATCTCACTGCACTTACCTTTTCCTCTACAGTGGGACCCCCGAGAACACATGTAGAGAATAAGGTAAGAGTCCCTCTTATTCTTTCCTGCATTCTCTTTCCATCTTTCCTCTGGGACTTAATTCTCAAACTCTTTCAATTGTAGCCACTTAGGAAGAGCAATATATCTGGGGTTTAATTCCTCCCTTATTGCCCAACACAATGGAGGTAAAAAACCGCTAGTTATAATCCTAGGTTTCCCCATACCGGGACACTCTGGAGGCTCATATAGGCAGTTACTTGAGCAATGGATGACCCACAATTCAGCCATAGCACAACCTAGTCTAAAAATTCTACTTACTTGAAAATACTAATTACAAAATACTGTTGAACCACTCATCCATTGCTTTGTATGGTTAACCAAACAGCAAATTAAATTAATATTGAACAAGATGATTTGGGCCCCCCAAATAGCAACAATTTGTAAACGTTGAACAATTTATCACTGATGATTCGCAAATAATTTCTGAAAATTACAAGAATTTTAACCTCACGCATGAATTACGGCCAGTTGGTGCTTTGCAGTTTTGTCTAGTGTAGTGCGGCAGCCAGCTGTCTCAGGACAGAGTTCACACCCTTGGTCAACTCCAGTGACACATTAAATCTTATGTATGAATACAAAATTTGAAATAAAAAAAAATGACAACCCACAGAACTCCTAACATGGGCCCTAAGAGTAAGAGAGGCTCTGTCTGTCTGGTTGGGTTTGTAGCTCATTAGGAATGCCTTTGTAGGCCACCAGTAGGATGCAGGTCTTCTGAAAATGCTGCATTCTGAAGGAGCCACAGTCTTTCAAGAGGCTCTGATTTATGTGCCACGTGGTGTGCTGTGATAGGATGTGTCCAGGCTAACTGGGGAAGGTGAGTTGTCCTGTCTTCCCTGCTGTAGTCCTATCCAGGAGTCTTTCCTTCCAGGTCCCCTCAGACATCTATTCTAGACTGAAGAAGGCAAATGACACCGATGTGGACTATGAAGACGCTATGTAAAGTTAAGGAAGCTTCTGCTCTCTGACAATCACCCATGACCCTAAGCCCAGACCCAACCTGTTCTTCAAAGACCCGAGGGAGTCAATGCTATAGTGTACCTCGCCCAGGGGCTTCCTCCATGGGACCATTTCTTTATCTACTGTGAAGTGAAGTTGGCACAAGCCCTGAAGAAACCACCCAGAACCAGCAAAGACACAAGAATGCAACAAATTTTGTCACCACAACCCAATTCCAGCTAGTCCTTTTGGGACTAGGTCACATTGTGCTTTTACTTTTTTTTTTTCTCTATAAGAGGATATAGAATGGAATAATAAAATATTGGGTTTATGGGATGGAAAGCTTAGAGTGCATGAACCCCAGGTTAGTGATTTGCTAAGACTGCTCTGTAAAGAGAGCTGTGTCCATCCATTTGTCCACGCACTTTCTCTCTCAGACAATACAGAGCCCCAGGCCTACAGCTTACATAAGTTATCCTGCTTCTACTGAAAGTACTGATACAGCATGTTTTGAGTCACATTTACCAAATTAGAATGAAAACAAAGCTACATAAAAGTCGTCATGATTACATTCAACTTTAGTGACATATTTATATACACAGGCCAATCTAAACACTCCATATCCCCAAATTTCTTATTGGTTGCAGCCTCTGGAAGCTTTATAAATGCAGAGTTGCTTCTTCCATCCACAAATGTTTTGAAAACATAGTAATATGGTTTGAGGTTCATATTATGATTTTAAAACAATAGTATGCTCACTCCTAGAAGTTAATATAGAGGTAATTAAGTATATAATTTAGAGGTATATAAAGAAAAGTTAAAGTCTGTCCTATAAGCTTACAGGACAATGGTAAAAACTCAACATGTAGCACTCCAGACATTTTTTCTATTTTTGCATAAACACATAAATATATGTAAATATATAGATATTGATATTCAGAAGTGTCTCTATTTAACAATCATGAAATATTTTCAAATCTTCATAAAGATATACTATTTTAAAGGGCTGTGTTGTATTCTGTTGTGTAGATAAATAAAAGTATATTTTTCTTACTATTGTGGTAAATACATATAAAATTGATAATTATAACCATATTTAAATGTACAATTCAAATAACATTAAGTACTATCATATTTTAATCCTTTCCTCCACTAATTGACATTAAAGTGGTCTCCAAAATTTTTATATTATAAGAAAATACTCAAATGTTCTTGTACAAGCATATTTAGGCACTTCCGTTAAATTATTTGAAAGATAAACTTGCAAATCTGGGATTACTGTTTTTTTAGGTTATGCACATTATATACTTTTAAAAACTCTTTTAAATTTCTTTCTACTAAGCCTGTATATATATATATATATTCACTGGGACAGCAGATGGGGTAGAGGTTAAGGTGACTGGATCCCTCATGGTGACTGTGTGGTCTGAATCCCAGACCTGGTGGCCTGAAAAACATGTGCATTCCTGAGAGTCTGAATCCCAGACCTGGTGGCTTGAAAAACGTGCATTTCTCAGAGAAGAATGGAAGAGAAGAGGCTGCAATGTGCCCCCTCACCTCTGGGGGACGCTTTCTCACTTACTCTTTCTCTGTGTTTGTCTCTGGCAAGACCATACACCCTCTAGAAAAAAAAAATCCATATACACCAAAAATATATGAGAGAATCGATTTGCAAGGAAAAGTTATTCTTATTAATTCAATTTAAAGTTTTAAAGTTATTGGCACAGTGAAGTATCTTCCCATAAATTTGCTGTTAAATTGCAGTTCTTTTTTAATTGTCAGAGAGTACAAGCACTCACCCAGAAGAGACAGGAGAAAGCATCCCTGACGGGGCTGTTAAATTGCAGTTCTTTTTTAATTGTCAAGCACTCACCTGGAAGAGACAGGAGAAAGCATCCCTGACGGAGCATAGTCACACTGTAGTATCTTCTCCATTTCTTCATTCTGTCAGGATTTACCATGGTCTGCCGTGTGGGATCTTGCTCTCTTTCTCTCTGTCTCTCTGTCTCTATCTCTCTCTCTTTTAGGGCATAAGCACTTGAGAGTTCTCTCTGTCTCTATCTCTCTCTCTTTTAGGGGTTTTTGCCTTAGGGCATAAGCACTTGAGAGCGAAGGACTGAGACAGTGAGAGGGAAAGTGAGAAATCACCCTCTGGGAGGAGATAGCCATAACACAATTCCTTCTCCTCCACTCTCCTCTTGGAATCTTGGGCACTCATGCCTACACGCCCTGCATAAGTTTCAAGCCACTAGGTCCTGGACTCAAACTGCCATCTGCAGACCCCAGGATCCTGCTCTCTTAGTCGCTGAGCTATGGGGCCAGCTCAATCTGTAGTTTTAAAATTTTTCCTGCACTGGGAACCAGCAGTTAGCGTAATGGCTATGTTGCTGGACTCCCACGTAGTCGACCACGGTTCGGTGGCTTAAAACTCACGCCGGGTGCATGTGCATACGTGCCCAAGATCCTGAGAGGAGAATGGAGGAGAAGGGATTGCTGCGTGGCCATCCCCACTGGGGGGTGATTTCTCACTTTCTGTCTCTCTGTCTCTCTCTGTCTGGCTGGCAAGTGCACACGCCCTATAGCAAAAACCTCTTTAAAAAAAAGAAAAAAAATTTTGTACATTTAGCTTTTGTCCATATTTTGTGTGTTCATTTGACTTTTTTTTTTATAGATTTGTAGGACCTATTTATCAGGCATAATTTACATACAGTAAAACCCACTAATTGTATGTGCAGTTTCATCAATTTGACAATTTCTAGCATCTGAATAATCCAACTCCCTACCATAATATACCAGAATATCATAGAATATTTTCATCACTCCAGAAGGTTTCCACATCCCCATTTCCAGTCAACTTCTGCCCTTCTATCGCTACTAAATGTTATGTCTTTTGACTATTTCATCATTGTGATACAAATGTCTTTGTCAAATCTTGCACTTCACTTTTTATTTCTTGTGAATTTTAAAATAAGGAAGGTTAGCTAAACTTAATTTTTTATATCGCCTTCTGACTTTCCTATCTGTCATTTTCTTTCAAGATATTTCTATCACACCATGTTACTGTGTTGTAAACATGTTCTCTTAAGTTTCCTTATAATGATATCATATTTTGTTTTATATTCACTTGGTCGATCTTGTATACATTTGGTACAAGGTAAGAATCTAATTTTTACTAGTTTTGTCTTTATATGTATGCATTTATTTTTTGGAATGAAAAAAAAATGTGAGTTAGGGATCATTGGAGAAAAATTGTCCACCTTATTCATGAACTATTCTGCCTTTTTCAAGTCCTTCCGTTCTCGTACTACCTGATCGCATTCAAATTAAATAAACCTAAGCCTGTGTTTGGACTTTGTTTAATACCACAGCTCTTCCTCTTACATGATCCACTCCACACACATTAGCCGCAGGGTTCCTCAGGGATATACCCCAGCTTGAGAACGCTGCACTTTCCATTTCCTGTGCTTTGAATGTACTTCCTCCGATACTCTCCATCTCTTATTGCTTTCAGTTGCATTTTCTGCTTTGAGTTCCTGCCTCTGGGCCATGAAAATATCTATTTTCTTTTTTTAAAGGACAATCATGGCTTTTAGCATTTTCTATTTTGTCTGCCACTGCTGTGGATTTGAAACTCAGAGAAGGTCTCAAAGGATAAAGTTGGAGCACCATGTAACCAGAAACTTGAACTTCTTTGTGTGATTATCCCTATACCTTAATACCTGGCATCTTACATTCTACTCATTGCTTCTTAATACATTTCTTGGTTCATGAAGTCCAAAGGTAGAATTTAAGATTGATAGCTCAGTTTTTCACTAGCAGCTTTAATACTGGATTTTGTAGTATTCTGGTTTTTATTGTTGCCTTTGATAAAGCTCTCAGTTGAATTGTTTTTCCTCTGTAGTTTTTTCTCTCTGGTTGCCTTTAACACTTTGTATTTTGATGTCATGAGGTTTCATTGCGTTGTGTCTAAATGTAAATTTATTTTGCTTGAGAATAGTAACTCTTAAATAGAAGAATTCATATCTTTCTTCAAATTCAGAAAATATTTTATTATTGTCTTTTTATTACTATGCTTCCTAGTATTGTCTTAATTCTCTTCTATAGAAATTTATGTTAGAAATTTTCTGGACCTTCACATTCTATTTTCATGACTTAATTAGACTTCCAAACTTTTATTTTATAACTCCAACTTTCAGTTTACTAATTTTCTCTTCAGCCAGATCTATTTTATGTTTACACTATTTCTTTCTGATTCAATGATTACAATTTTTAAGACATATTATTAACAAAATGGTTAAAAAGATGGTCCCATAGCCTAGTGGTTAAGGGAACCAGAGACCACATGGCAGATGGTGGTTTAGGTCTTGGTCCCAGCAATTTGAAAAACAGGCCAAGTGTGTGTGCACATATATCCCAAATCTTGACAGGGTGAAAGAATGAAGGAAAAGGAATTGTGGTGTGACCAGACCCCACTGGGAGCTACTTTCTTCCTCTCTCTCTGCCTCTCTCTCTTTCTGTCTCCCTAGTCAGCATATGTGCCCTCTGCCAATAACTTTTTTTTTAACAAAAGCATGATATCTAAAGAATTATGTAGATTTACATTTTGTCCTACACTATTAAGTAGCTCTGCAGTTTTGGTCAAATTAACCTTCTGTGTTTCTTCATGTGTAAACTTTGTATAGCAATTGTATCCTAATATACATAGTTTTCTTTTGATAATTAAGCAAAATCATTAAGAAAATTATCATTATGATAATTAAGCAACATCAATGTTTGAAACACATTATATATTCAAAAACAAGTTATTGTTATTTTTATTTCATATTTGCCTTTTTATTGTTTATAGTGTTTTTTTATTATGGGTTTAATAATTTATTTTACAATTTTAACAACATTAGGGACTGTCAAGTATACACTATATTATTATTAACTATAGTCACCATGCTGTACAAAGATCTCCAAAATTTATGCCTCCATTCTGACACTATGTTTGACCAATATCTTCCCATCACCTCCATCCCTTACCCCTACAACCACTATTCTACCCATTAGTTCCATGTATGAGACGTTTTTACTTTTCACATATAAGTGAAATCATGCAAAATATTTGTCATTTCGAGCCTGCCTCACTTCACTTAACATAATATCCTCTCGTTCATTTATGTTATTTCAAGTGATGAGATTTCCTTCTTTTAAAATACTAAATAGTGGGGCCAGCGGGTGGCGTGGTGGTTAAGATGCTGGACTCCCACATGACCATCCACAGTTCCAGTCTTGGACCTGATGACTTGCTTTCTCACCCTCCTTCTCTCTTTCTCTCTCTGATCAAATTGAAGAATGAAAATAAACAAATAAAATTAAATACTTCTTCAAAAAATACTAAATAGTACTCTACTGCTTATTTTTGTTATGTTTTTTTACCTACAGCTTTTTAAAATTTTTTTATTTTTGGAGAGGTTTTCGCTATAGGGCGCATGTGCTTGCCAGAAAGACAGAGAGAGACAGAGAGACAGAAAGCGAGAAATCACCCCCCGGGGGAATGGTCACGCCGCAATCCCTTCTCCTCCATTCTCCTCTCAGGATCTTGGGCACACACACACACACAAGCGCCCGGTGTGAGTTTAAGCTGCCGGGTCCAGGACTTGAACCACGATCAACTACGTGGGAGTCCAGCGACATAGCCATTATGCTAACTGCTGGCCCCTTACTTATAGCTTTTTAAAAATTAATATATAATAATCATACATATTTGTGGGAGTACAATGGGATTTTCCAATATAATAAAACCATGTCTATTGATTAAATTGGGGTATTAGTAGACCCATCACCTTAACCATTTGTTATTAATTATGTTGAGAGCATTCAAAATCCTCTTTTTAGAGATACCCAGTAAGTTGTTAACTACTTTCTCACCACTGTATTTTTTTTTTTTTTTTTGGAGAGGTTTTTGCTATAGGGCGCGTGCGCTCGCCAGACAGACAGAGAGAGACAGAGAGATAGAAAGCAGGAAATCACCCCCCAGGGGGGATGGCCACGCCGCAATCCCTTCTCCTCCATTCTCCTCTCGGGATCTTGGGCACGCACGCACATGCGCCCGGCGTGAGTTTAAGCCACCGGGTCCGGGACTCGAACCGCGGTCGACTACGTGGGAGTCCAGCGACATAGCCATTACGCTAACTGCTGGTCCCACCACTGTATTTTATAACACTCAAAATTTTTCTTCTTTCCTATCTATAGTATTTTTGCTTATCAACATTCTTCCAGTCCCCTTTCCCCCATATCTTCCAGCCTCTAGTAATTTTTCATCTCTCT